TGATAGTTTCACTTACGATTCAACACTTTGTGGCCATTGTTCCTTCAGTTCCATCATGACTGTGCCATAGCCATGTTCTACAAATTTGAGTATTCTGCATTGATATGAGATTTTGCGTCAAAGTTAAATTTTTATTTGGAAAATAATCTCCACTTGGGAAAAAATCAAGAACCAATTATTTTTGGTGAAGCACCCACCCCCTACCAGTCCATAGCTCTTGCTCTCCACATAGATCTATCACACCATACTTTCCATCTCCCCCAAGGAATATATAGAATACTTTGGGCTGCAGGTAACTGGACATTATAATTAAAATGCTACTGCAGATTAAAATCTATTTTCTTAGGTCTCAGATGATTTAACCAAGAGTAATTTCAGAGGAAGCTGACAAATAACATAAGCAAAAGAAAACTCTGATTTTTCAAATAGTGATCTAATAGTGATATAAATGCAATTTTATGTAACAGCTCAACAGCACCATGAGGGACCAGCTTCTTTTTATTTTTCTGCTCTACAATCTTCAGCATGTCTTTAGTGTGGCCATAAGATGCCCACTCTCGTTCCAAGCATCACATGATCATAGGTAGTGGAATAAAGAAGGCTTTCAGGATCTCCCCATACACCTTTCATTATGCTCCTGTTACTCAGTCACTAGAGTGCTAGGATTACTACAAGTGACTTAAACTATTCAGTCTTTACTCTTGAGCTTTAAAAAAAAATCAGTTTGTGCATGTTGGCCATCCAACTAAAATTATGATTATATTAGAATGGAGGAAGAGAGAATAAATTTAGAGTGGATGATTTTTCTCAACAATACACATATTCATGAACAGGTCTTTCTACAGTTGTGTAGATCATTTGTGCATATATGCATACCTTACTGAGACTCATAATACCATACACTTAAATTAATGTCTGTTCATATGTACAAGAAAGCTAATTACAACCAATTTTTAAAATAAGGGTGACAGGGACTATAGTTAGGTTTAATTAGGAAATCATAGAAATGGGTGAAAGTAAGATTAATGTAAAAAAATCTATATGAGTTGGATGGAAGATAGTAAGGATGGGCACTATTATAATTGGTAAAAGGTTTGAAGAACAGAGGTAATGATTGGAAGGATGACTTTGTGGGAGACTTTAACAGGAGAAAAAGACTAGGTGAGAGGTTTAGAGAAAGAGTCTTTTGTCAGTGTAATGATGGATACCTAACTAACCACAGGAAATACACCTGTGAGTTTTCATTTCACAATTTCATTGGCGATAAAAGAAATGAATACAGTTTTTTACAGAAAATTAAGTCCAATACACTATCCTGTCAGTAAGGCAGGAATGTTGCTCCAGAATCACACATATTATTGCCACATCAACTATATTTCTGGCTACCTGAATGTCCTTATTCCTGCTAAGGAAACTGTGAGGTCTAGGACAGTTTCTCTTTGTGGCCACCTGTTATTTTATGCCTAACTTTGTCTGCATCTTTTATTATGCGATGAGTTTTCAGCATTTTGATGATAATGACAGAAATTTAAAAGAAAAAAATGATGCTGAGTTACTACTCTATCACAGCTCTGTGAGGGTTTTTTCCATGTTATTTATTTACTCTGTGTATAACTTGAACTTCTCTTTTTAAGGCTAGCAGTGTCTCACTTATTTCCCATGAGATTAAACAATTATTAACAGTGGGATTCTAGATCTTTATATCTTAAAATTCTTAATTTTTAACACATTCCAATACTTAAGTAAAAATGATTATACCTCCTTCTGAACATAGGTATAGAAGTTGGTCCTCAGCCCCAAGGTGTTCTGAGAGCTGATATTTTGTACCAAATGAGAAAAATGATTAAACATGCTCTTGATTTTATACAGCACTTCAATGAAGGTAAGTTATGGGGAAAGTTGTCTCCTAGAATATATGTACATCACTTAACCATAGGGTGTGTGTGTGTGTGTGTGTGTGTGTGTGTGTGTGTGTGTGTCAACTTGCAGGACTCATTGCTCTCCTTCACCCATATAGGTCCTGTGTGTAAAACTTAACCCCTAAACATTGACCTGGTAATTGGCATCAAGATCAAATTTGCCATGCTTATAATTTTAGATCTCTCTCTCTCTCTCTCTCTCTCTCTCTCTCTCTCTCTCTCTCTCTCCCTCCCTCTCTCTCTCTCATTTTTATATAGCCTCTCACTATGTAGCCCAGGCTGGTCTTGTAAATAATCCTAATGAAACTCATTGGCTCACAAAAAAAAAGAGAGAAGAAAAGAAAAAGAAAGGCATGAAATCAGAAGGGGCTAGTTGGGAGAAGGAAAGGGCTCAGCAGGAGAGAGACGGGGACACAAGAGGGTGGTGGAGGGTGAATATGATCAAAATACATTATATATACTGTGAAAATATAGCACATTGTTGTGTATAATTAATATGTGCTAATTTAGGGTGCTGGAGAGATAGCTCAGCAGTTAAGAGCACTGGCTGCTCTTTCAGAGGACCTGGATTTAGTTCCCAGCACCCACATGGCAGCTAAAAACCATCTGTAACTCCAGTTCCAGGGCTTAGTAACAGCATTTGATCTGCAGACGTGAGGGCCTGAGTTTGAATCTTTATCACCCACATTAAAAGCTTTGCATGGCTGTCTGTGCCTCTAACTCCAGCATTGTGGGCCAGAGACAGATGGATCCCGAGAGCTTCCTGGCCAGCCAGCCTAGCTAAAACAGCAAGTTTCCAGTTCAGCAAGAGACCCTGTGTCAAGGCAGTAAGGTGGCGAACAGCCAACAGAGGAAGACACTTGACAGTCCTGCTCTGACCACCACAAGCAAGCACTTGGGTACACATATGTGCATACTCACATGCATGCACCATACAGTACACACACACACACACACACACACACACACAGAGGCAAGTTGCAGACCAAAAATCATGTCTGTCATTTGAGCATCAGGGAGGCTGAAGTAGATGACAAATAGCCTGGGCTACATAATGAGACCTTGTCTTTACAGTAATTATCACTTGCCAGAGTACATACACATATATGTTAATATATATGAAAAGTTCTAGATAAAACATACCTATAACAATGATTACTGAGTGATGGAACAAGCCATGCTAACTTTTTGTTATATTCAATAAGAATAATGTGTTTCTGTATTATTCCTGCAATTAATAATTAAATGGGGACTGGTGGAGAGGTAGGCGAATGGATCCTATGTATGTTTGCTCACTTATTCAGTAAATCTAAAACTGCACTAAAAAGTCTAACAATTATAAAACAATTTACTTTAAAACTTAAAAGATTACTTTTAAAAGTCTCAGAGACATCCTATGTAAATAATTCCATTAGGCACAGGCGGAGTCAGGCCATGCAAAGAATCATACAGAGACATAGGCATAGGAGCATAGTGGGATCAGGACACTTATCTCCCATTGTATCTTGGAGGATCAGCTACAGAACTGAGGCATCCTGGTGATCCAGCCCAATTGGTAGAGTGTTTGACTAGCATGCACAGAGCTCTGGGTTTGATCCCAACACCAAAAGAAAATTGAAAATGAAGGTGAAGACCTGTAAACCCAGCATTCAAGAGATTGAGGAAGGAGGCTCTGCAGCTGAAGGTCAACTTTAACTACATAGCAAGTTCAAGGACAATCTAAGCTGTAGGAGACCCTGTCTCAAAAACAAACAATTAAAAAGCAAGTAGAAGAACTGATGCTTTAAAAAATTATTAAAGAATGATTATTTCTGGTGGCATAGCTAGGGTGCAACTCGGGACCTGTGGGGAGTATTGTCCCTTAGCGATATGCACCTCTTGCAGTCACAGGATTTCTGTGCTTGGGAATCCCTTGACCTCCAAAAAGTCATAAAAAGTGAAAATCAGCTGCTCACTGCCTTTGTCTGAGAACAGGCCCTATGCTCTCTGGTGGAACTGGCGTTGGGAAGGTCACAACATATGCACAATACAAATACCAAGTGTGGAACTATAATACATTAAGAAATGACATACCCATGTGAAAGGCCATAGGCCTAAACTGAAAACATGGTTTACAGGCCATGGTTCATAGTCCCTACCCCATGGGTGGGGAGTACAGAACATCCCTGTGTCCATCCCCTCATCATCCTGGTAGTTCTTCCCCTCCCTTGAGTCTGACTTGGTCATGTGACTTGTTTTTATGTCCTATAGGAGGCTTGAAAAAGACTTGGATTTTGAGACGTGCTCTTCTGCTGCCCTTGGGAACCCTTCATGGCCATTATGTGACTCAATCCACACTGACCTGCTAGATAATGAAAGATTATGTGATGCCAGCCTGTCTAGTGCCAGACATGAGAATGATGGCATCCCAGATCTCCCAGCCTGAGAGGCCCTGCCAGCTTATTTTATATATGTGATCAAGGTCATCAGAAATCAGCCAAAGGCAGTCTAGACCAAAGGAGCTGCCCCATCAAGGCAGACCAGGATTCTGCCCCACAGAATCACAAGCCCAATTAAGGGGTGGTTGCTTTAAACTGCTAAGTTCTTGACTAGAGTGTTACATAGCAAAAGCTAGCTAGACATGACCACAGAATTGCCCATTCCAGTTCTGCTCTGAGGAAAAAGAAGACTTACCTCTGAGTTCCAGCCATAGCACACTATGGACTCTCCATAGTTCACACTATTTGCTCAAAGATTGCCATATATATACTGCTTTTTCAAAGTTTCTGGGCATTGTGTTATTTAATTTTACATTGCCTTCGCGAGTTGAGCTCCACCGTTAGACAGACTCCCTGCATCCCAAGAGCTCACCGATCGGGAGTTATCCAGGTGTATGATATACTTAGTAGAAGCCAGCTAGCTTGTTGGAAGTCTTCCTGAAGCTATGCAGTCAGGGAATGTCAGAGCAAGAAAGGCCCTTCAAGATAAGCGAATCCAAATCTTATTTTAACAAGAATGAAAGCAAGGTTATAGAAGGTCAGCTTCTTGCTCAAGATCACACAGCTGGGAAAATCAGAAGACAGCTGGGAGACTAGAGCCCTGCTGCCCTGACTCATGGGCCTAGACTCTTTTCTTCCATACTGAAGTTTGTAGGTTGCGTTTTCTACCTCTGTCCATCATGCATTTGTGGGAGGTGTGTTGACAGGAATGATTCCAGAATATCTTTTGACTTCTTGTTATTTATGACCATCTATAACTAAGCATCTGCATTCTTGTAACTCTCTTCAGGTTTTGTTGTTGTTCTTCCTTAAGGTGTCAGCTTCTCTTTTTGGGAGATTTCCTTTTTGTTGTTATTAACACAGTGTATTTTTTCATAGGAAAAGAATTTCCTCCCTGTGCTATTGAAGTCTATAAAACAATGGAGAAAGTTGATTATCCGAGGAATGAAAGTGGAGAAATTGCTGCTGTCATCCATCCTAATCTACAGGTAGCATTTGATTTTTCTTTAAAATATTGAAACTTGGGCTGGAGAGATGGATCACTGGTTAAGAACACTGGCTATTCTTGCAAAAGACCCAGGTTCGAATCCCAGCACCCACATGGCAGCTAACAACTGTCCATAACTCCAGTTCCAGGGGAACAGCCTCTTCTGTCCTCCGTGGGCATTACACAACACAGGTGCACTTACCTACATGCAGGCAATACATGCATACACATAAAATAAAAATAATAAAATATTTTAAATAGCATTAAAATATTGAAACTAATAATGTTCTATCTTTGAGTAGAATTTTAGAGTTCATACAGCACTTTGCATACATTAGCTAGTTTGTTAGTATTCAAAGTATTGTATCAGTCAGCTTTGCGTCACTATAATGAAATAACTGCTGTAATATCTAATAAAGAGAAAAGTTTTGTTTAGCTTGCCATTCTAAAGGTTCCTTTCCAAAATCAAATGGCCTCATTACTTTGGTCCTCTGGCAGGAGCACTAAACAGTGATAACAGGAGCAAATGGTAAAACAAACTGCTCACATAAGAAGCAAGGAAGCAAAGTGACTCCATGACAGACCCTACAGCCCCCTTCAAAGGACAATCCTCAATGACCTAAGGGCCTCCCACAAGGCACTGCTTCCTAAAGGGCCACATCTCCTCCTAAGAACACCACCCTTGGGACCAAGCCTTTGACAGCTGGACCTTTGGGAGATACTTCCCATATCTGAACTGTAGCAGGAAAGTAGTCAAACCTTCTCTCAGAACTTGTTGATTATAACATGCTGGCTCTGGGACACAGCAGTGAGCACGGCCTGTGGTCTTGTGGATTGATAGTCTGCACAGGCTGAAGTCTAATCTTCTATCCAGAAATGATAACCAGAGCTCTAACCTCATAATGAGGTGGGAGAGGGGTAGCCCAACAAGACTTCTCAGATAATAGAATGCCTGCCCACAGGCAATGGGTAGAAGCTCTCCACAGCTATGAGTGTTATGTCTTTGCAGCTGGTCATGTTATTGACACCTCCCTGTGATCATCACCAAATAATTTAGAGCAAAACACTCAGAGCTTGTTTCTCTGGACATACCTGCCACTGTCCCTGACTCTTCTGGATCTATACCTGGCCTGATTTGATCAATAATGACATAATGAAGGAGCAAAGAAAGGTTCTCATGGGAGTTAGGAGACTTAAGTCTAGAAAAGGCAAAGGGCAAAGCAGGGAGGCGCAAAGGTTCCAAACAGCTAAGATACCCACTCCACATTGTGATTCCTCAAAGCCTAGATGGAGAGGAGACCTGGTAGGCTATTTGGTGCAGGGTTTTCAGCCCTGACCACACATAACCTAGAGTGCTTTCTGAAAACTAACAGTGCCAAGAATGTGAGATAATCTGACCTTATAGACTTGGGTATTCATGGTTGAAAACCACTGATCCAGTTCAAATACCTATTTAATGACTTTTAATGGCCATCCAGGCATGCAACTTAATAAAGCATCCTGCCCACAAATGCAGACTAGTGAAGCAAATCCTGCCTTGTGGCTTCATGGAAGCCACGTGGAAACCAGAAGAAGCCGTAGACAGTGTTTTAAAGGAAAGACTGAGGGTAGGAGCAGAATGAAGAAAGTCCTGTAGATGACAAGCACAAAAAACACAGGCCAACCTGATGACATCGCAACAGACTGAAACACAGGAACCTTCAAATCTGTTTTCCTCAGTGACCTCCTTCAACAGCAGTAAAGTAATCCTGGGAAGGCTGAAAGAGAGGCTGAGCTTATGTCGATATGTGTAAGACCTGTGCAACCCAAACCACACCAGGGCCCAGCATGGATGGGGAGGTAGACAGGAAGCCCCAGCCCTAGCTGAAGATCTATTGGCAATTGATAGATGCTGGGACAGGGAGTCAGTTCTCCTTACTGGTGTGATGCCAGGTAGATTGACCTGACTTCAGGAGACAGACCCACACCTAAGAGCACTTGGGAAACACAGAATTTTATAGATCTTTTTTAAAAAAACAAAAGGCTGGAGAGATGGCTCAGCGGCTAAGAGCACTGGCTGCTCTTGCAGAGGACCTGGGTTCGGTTCCCAGCATCCACATGGCGGCTAACAACCTATCCATAAATCCAGTTCCAGGGTCTCCGACACCCTCTTCTGACCTCTGTAGGCATTGCACAATATAGGTGCACTTACATATATGCAGGCAATACACTCATACACATAGAACAAAAATAATAAAATATTTTTATTGATTCAAGAATTTCATACAATGTATTTTGATCATAGACCACCTTCTCCTCACCCCCACCTTAATACCTCCACTTTGTGTCCTCTGCTATTATTATATTTAAAATAGTTTAAATTTAAAGAAAAGAGAAGCTGATATCAGAACCAGCTGGGTCAGTGGTAGATTCTGAAAGTCAGGAAAGGTCATTTGGAATTGATAGATGATAAGGAATGGTTCAAGCTAGGTCTAGTGGCACAAGCCTGTAATCCCAGCTACTTGGGAGGGAAGGCAGGAGGATCATAAGCTCCAGGCTTCCTGGGTCATAAAGTGAGCTCAAGGCCAGCCTGGGCAAATTAATGAGACCCTGTCTCAAAATAAAAATTAAAAAGAAGACTAGGAGTACAGGTCATGTACAATGCCCTGAATTCGGTCCCCCAGTACCACACAGGGAGTTGGGGTGGGGAAGGTCTCAGTTTCCTGTAGGAGAGATTAATTCTAACTTTGCATATCTGAGATAGGTCCAACCCCTCTCATTCATGCATATATATATTAACATCCCAAGTGATTACAAAGTGTAGCTAGAGTTGAGAAAAATCACTGTGCTATGGTTCTTCTCAAATGTTAATGTTATCCTATGAACCTTTGGCAAATTATTCACATGAAGGTTTTTATTTGGTAGATCTACAGCAGTGAAGGAAATTCTGCTTTTCTAACAAGCTCCCAGGTAGTGCTGATTCTGGGAAGTACTAGGAATGCAGAGTCCCAGGCCCCTGCCCTGACCTAGAGACTCAAGCTGCATCTTAGCCAAGTTCCCAGATGCTTTACAAGCACAACAAACTTGGAGATGTTCTAAGGTTCTTGTGGTCTGATGACACTGGCATTTGAAGACCCATGCCTCTCAACACATCCCCCACATATCTCTTTTTAATAGACAACGTCTCTTTTAACAGACAATGTTAGTTAACTACAGTCTGACAAGAAAAAAAAATGTTTAAAGCAAGAGGAAAAAGCCAAATGTATTTTATTTATTTTGTTTCCTAAAAGGATCAAGACTGGAAACCACTGTACCCTGGAGATCCTGCATTTGTATCCCTTGATGGAATGATTATTCCACTAGGAGGAGACTGTACTGTATACCCCGTGTTTGTGAATGAGGCTGCATATTATGAAAAGAAAGAAGCATTTGCGAAGACAACCAAACTAACACTCAATGCAAAAAGCATCGCACTACTTTCCAATAGAAATTAATGCTAGCTCAGTGTGACCTGGGAATTCCTCAGGAGCAGGGTTGTACCTTATTCTAGTTCTCCACAGCACCTGGCCCCATGCCTCATACATTAGGCATCCAGACCAGTTTCTGGGAGGAAAGAATAAATTAATGAATGTCTTCCACATATATCATAGTTTATATATGTAGCTTACTCAAGCTAGTGTGTTTCTGATTTCTGTATAGCTCTTTATACAGTATACTTTGATAGTTTAACATTGTTAATAAACAACCTTCACATTCAGAACATAAAATTAAGATGCATACTATATTCAAAGTTGTCAGCCTAACATACAATGAAACTGAATAAAATGTATGTTTTCAAGTAATATATAAGCGCTACTAGAAACTAACAGTGTAGACTTGATATTTTTCAGTTTTTGCATTTGAATTGGTGATAGTATATTAAATGGATGTTCTATAAACACTTGCAATGATTGTGGTATCTGTGGGAGAGATATAGGGTGCTCGTCTGCGGGTGAAACATGAAAGGGAATGAGCACAGATTGTAAAGTGTAAATGAATACATCAAAACACTCCATGTCTCACAGTCCCCTCAAGATACTCATCAGTCCTTAATGTGGGAGCTTTGAAAGAAGTATTCCTCACAGCTGTCAATTGTCATTTTGATAGAACACAGTCACCCAGATTCATAGCCAACAAGGTATGAGGCTCTCGTCTTTGGTCTCCAGCAGCCACCACCAAAGGTAGTGAAGACCAGTAACAGAAGGCAATGGACACTGGTGGAAATGTGGCCCAACATCATGACTCTGGGTCGCAAATACATGTTTTCAAGAAGTCCCACCATATCTTAAGTGCCAAAATCCCTTGCCTCTCATGATTCTTCTCAAAAGACCTCCAGCTGAAACCTGCCTCCCTCCTTCCCATCCCTTCAGGACACTCACCTCCCATCACTTCTCTCCAAGGCCACGGCAGTCAAGTAAAGAGCATTTTTTAAATTTCATTATTTGGACCCCAAGGAACACATGTTTATGAATTCAAATTTTTTATCTAAAATATTAACAATGGGGGATTAGAAAGACAACTCAGCAGTTACAAGCATGCACTGTACCTGCAGTGGACCCCAGTTCAGTTTCTAGTACCATGTTGGGTGATTCACCAACCACCTGTAACTTCAGCTCCTGGGGATCTGATGGTCTCTTCTGGCCTCCATGGGCAACTTTACTCACATGCATATAACCCTACACAGGCACACATGAATGCACATAATTAACAAGAGATTTTACTTAATTGATAAAGTGCCTGCTGTGCAAGAATGAGAACCTGAGTTCAATCTCCAGTACCCACTAAAAAGCTAGACACAAAGTACCTACGGTCCCAGGGACTGGGAAAGTGGAGACAAGCAGATTCTTGGGACTTGCTGGCCAAACATTCTAACGAAATCACTGAGCTCCAAGGTCAGTGTGTGACCATCTCAAAAAATAAGGTGGAAGCCAGACATGGTGGCACATGCCTTTAACTCAGCACTTGAGAGGCAGAGGCAGGTAGATCTCTATGAGATCCAGGCCAACCTAGTCTACATAGCAAGTTCCAGGACAGCTAGGGCTACAAGGAGGACCCTGTCTCAAAAAATAAAAAGTGGAGAGTGATTGAGGAAAACTCCCAGCATGGGCCTCTGGTCTCCACACATGTGTATACACGTGCACAGGCATCTACACACACATGGACATATACAAAAAACACCTGGTATAGGTATATACACCATTGCCTTCAATTTAACAAATGCCCAGTATACACACGTACATTTTCATTCATCCAGAGCAAATCCTATTTAGCCACTCTCACCCCATATTTGATGCTTTATATAGTATAAAGTTTCTAAAGCTTTAAAATCTATTTTAGACTTTTCCAGAATTATTATCATTGAATGGGCTCTTCTGAATGCTGTAGTTAAGGTATGGCATATCAGTCTGCTTTGTACACAAAAGCATTGCCAAGCTTCCTTCTCTCCTTATGATTGTTCCTAGTGTCCAGTTTTTCTCAGTCATTTTTCCAGATTAAATTATGGCAAGAAAACACTATTCTCCCATCAAAGTGTAGTTACTTATAAAATTTTAAATGTGCAATTTAAGTTACTATGGTTTCAGTTTGAGGATTGATTATTTCTATCAAGTCTAATGTTCCCTCACTCAATCTTTATTATCTTCAGTATTACTAATTAGATGTGAAACTTATTTTGTACATGCATTTATTTATATTGTGTGTATGTGTTCCACACATACACATACACACACCTACCACAGTGTACATGTGGAAGTCAGAGGACAACTTGCAGGAGTTGGTTCTCTCCTTCCACCATTTGGGTCCCAGACACACAACTCAGGTCATTAGCTTGGTAGCAAGTGCCTTTACCCACTGAGCCATCTTGTCATCTGTATTTTTTTCTAAAATCTATAACAAAAGACCAAAAAAATCCGTAACATTGCTGTGTGGTTTTACCCACTTTTGTCTGTATTTTATTTTGATTATCTGTAACAATCTACAGGTTCAGTTTCTTCATTTATTCAATGGCATAATCATAATATGCCTTCTCCTCAGATCATTGTGAGGATTGAGCAGCTAATGCATGCAAGGGCTTTAGGTCAGTGCCTAGCACAGAGTATGCACCTCATCGGTTATTCACAGTTAGCACAAAAGGCCTTTCATGGCCTGCCTCTCCCTCCCCCATAGCCTCTAGACTCATCTCCTTTCCTGTTCTCTCTGTTCCAGGACCCTTCTGTTGTTTTATTCCCATATGTCTCACCAAAGCTGATTCCTCTCTCTAGAATTCTCTCTCACCTTCCTGTAACCCCTCTGCCCAACTTCGTCCTAGTTAATCCTGTGAGTCCTTCAAAATATAACTCAGTTCGTTGCATGTACAGAACCTTCTGGGTCTCCCTGTATCTGACTTAGTAGCCTCTTTGTTCTCCTCTCCTTCTATCCCAATGTAACAAGAGTAAAATGTCTTTATCAGTTTCAGAAATCCAGTGAAGTGCCCAAGAAAGGCTAGTGGACTACATGAGCATATCAAACAGATCCTTCTCTACCCAGATGTCTTTGCTTTCCACCCATGTCCCTGCCTTTTCATGTTCTTTTCCAGTCACTTCTTGAGTGTGTCACCTCATCACTTCCTGGTGAAACTCTACTCTGTACTCTTCAGACTTGCTATATCTCAAAGGATGGCAGAAAGAAGAGGAAACACACACTTCTAAGACTGTAACACCATAAGCAAAACCAGAAATGTTCACTGATAGAATATGTAAATTGCAGAAGAGCCACAAGCCTCATTAGGGAAAGCGATAAATCCCTTAAAGTGTCTAACTGGCCCTAAATTGGCAGCCTGGCCTTGTTTAAGCCTTATCAACTGGTCACTCCCTGGAGAGAGAGAGAGAGAGAAAGAGAGAGAGAGAGAGAGAGAGAGAGAGAGAGAGAGAGAGAGAGAGAGACTATTTGTAGAGCCCACCTGCCTCCTTTAGTGCTCTAGATAACTCGAAAAGAGACCCTGAAAGGACACCAAACCGAGGCACTAATTCAACTCCCCACAAAGTGCAGCTGTGTCTCACAACTTTCATATAACCCTCCTCGACCCCCACCCCATTTATTTGTCTAGTTGTAGAAGCATGGTTCCCATGGTCAGCCTCTACCTCTCACTGGAGCTTCGTTAAATAAAGGAAGATATGATCCTTGCCTGTTGCAGGTCTGGCTCTGTTTTCTTGTCTCCTACTCCTCTATCTCCTTTTATTCTCCAAAATTCTAACATTCACACTCAATAATTCCCTTGTGTAAAACCCTTTCGTGGCTTTTCCTTACCCTGGATGTGAAATTTCAAAGTCTTGCCCTGGGCAGATAAGGCCTGCGTGCTCTGGCCTCTGCCACCCCTTCAGCCTCATGTCACTTGACCCCTTGCTCCCAGCAATCAGGATTTGAATAGAATAGAACCGCAGGCTGGGTTCTCCAGTCATCAGATACACCAAGCTCCCTGCCACCTTGGGCCTTTTCCTACATTGTCCTCTCTTCTTAAAAGCCTGTACCAGGGCTGGAGAGATGGCTCAGCAGTTAAGAACACTGAATGTTCTTGCAGAAGACCCGGGTTTGAATCTCAGCACCCACATGGCAGCTAACAACTGTCCGTAACTCCAGTTCCAGGGGATCCAACAGCCTCTTCTGACCTCCGCAGGCATTACATGACACAGATGGACTTCCATACATGCAGGCAATACACACAAACACATAAAATAAAAATAATAAATATTTTTTAAAAAAAGCTTGTACCATCCCTACTCTCCTGGACATGGTGATGCTTGTTTTTAATGTGACATGGTTTAGGTTAAACCACTCTGTTATACAAGTTCATCAACACTACCAGACTAGCACCTCTCAAACCCTCAAAACAATCATTGATGAAATTAGAGCAGGGAATAGTTGTTTAAACTGCAAAAGTGCCAGGAGAGTTGAGTTAGTGTTCATCTTGCTCTTTGCATTATTCATAGCACTTAGCACAGTGCTTAAGACATATCGTGAACTCAGCAAGTTTTGTCCGGCAGATGAGAATTGGTCTGGGGAGAATCAAACCACATAGAAGTCCTTTGCTTGGAAGAACAGATTGTTGAGCTGTGATGAGAAACCACAGAAGATACCACTAGAGACCACAGAAGATGCTCCTGGTGCAGGAATGGGGAGCCACCTATAGCCACTGCTCCAGTAGAAGGATCAAGTAGGAGCAGTGAGAGAAGCTCTGGAGACAGATGAGCAAAGCCGTGGTGCTGGGGGGGGGGGCGGTTACAAGTCATCAGCATACCAGAGCCACAGGGCCTGGAAATGGCTGCAAGGCCTGTGTGTGCACATCTCACAGAGTCTTAAGGTGGAGTGACTGCTTAGGAGACTCACAAAACTTTTTTATATCCCTGCACTTCCACCTACACTGTCTTCAGGAGACTTTGTCTCCTACCTGTAAAGATGCTTTTTACGTCCTCCACCATAGCACAGCCACAGAAAGCGGATTCAGTGTTTGGTAGACAGTGACTCTGTAACATCTATAAAATCAGTGGTGCATGAACTCCCACAGGGGATTTTACAGTGCTTAGCACATAGAGCACATAGTGGAGGATCCCACCCAGGGCTGCCACACAGGCTCAGTGAGTTGCGCAGTGCACAACTTGAGTTGGCTCTATTTACATATCTACAAAGTGACGGACACAGTCCCGAATGCCACATCTCATCAAACCAGAAAAGAAAACTGACATTTCCTTCAGTTTGGCCAAGAAAAAAAATAAAGATTTGATTTGTAAACAAAATCAACTAAAACCTGGAGTCTATAAGAGATTGCTATATTATAATTTAGAAAAAATTACTGAAGCCACATTAGTTGCCAATAGGCTAAATGTTCAATGTAAACATTCACTTTTAGAAAATAGATCCATTTAAG